TTCCTTGTGGCGCCGTGAACCCCTAGACCCCTGCGACCGGCGGTCCATCTCTTCTTCGTATGTGCTGTCCTCGTCCTCCGAAGGTGCGGACTCCTCCGATGATGACCCTGGTGTCGGCTCTCTCGATGGCATTCGACCACGCCGTCGAAGCTTTGCAAATTCGGCGGTTAAGGATTGAATTGACCTGGATAGTGATTGCTCGAGCTTCGCCAATTGATTGTATGTGGCATGTTGAGCATCTTGCACGGCCTTCATGTCGGCTTTCAAGGATTGCACATCTTCGATCATGGGATACAATCCGCTCTCCAATGCCTCGATTCTCTCCTTATGCGTACTCGTCATTTTTTTTATTTTTTTTTTGAATCACTCAACTCACAAAATCAAAATAAAAATAGAAAACAAATAATAGTTTTTTTTTTTTTTTTGGAATCACTCACGCAAGAAAGAAAAATAATATTTTTTTTTTTTTACCAACTCACGCAAAAACCAACAAAAAGACAAAACTTTTCTTTTTTTTTTTCCTGTTGCTCACGGCAACAAACCAAAAAACAATATTTTTTTTTTCACGAACAGACTTTCAAAAAAACAAAAATAAAACTTTTTTTTTTTAAAGTAACGAAAAGAAAAAAATCAAAAGAATGAAGAAGAGAAAAAGTTTAAACAAGATACACGACCAACCCTCTCAATGAAAGCACCAATGATGAAGATCGTGTATCCGCCTCAACTCGATTTGCTTGAAACCCGCGCTGACGCCTTGGTCCCGAAGCGATAGGTTGCTAATACGCGCGCCGACGCCTCCGTACTTCGCGATAGTTGTGAAGAAACTCGGATGTTGGTCCTATTTCTAACACGATAGGTGTGAAGAAACCCGGATGTTGGTCCTATTTCTAACACGATTTTGTATGTAAACTCACACACAAGAGTTGGTGAACAAACGTTCGATTTTCTATTAATTTCTTGGATGATGAAAAATAACATAGGGTACATGGGTATTTATAGGAGAAAACCAAATCTAATGCTAATCTAACTAGATCTCTTAAACTGTGCAGTAAATAAATCCTAAATCTACTAAATCTCTAATTAAAGTAATTAAATATTAACTAACTTATACAATCTAGATATTGTTGTGCAAGAAGGAAACTAAATATACAAGAGTCCTAATTGACTAGATTGTCTTGATCTTGCTTGGCTTGCACTCCAAGCAATTCCAAATTCATTCGGCCGCCTCAAACTTCTCGCGTCCGCGTCGCTCGTGTCATCCATGCGCCGCCTCTCGCGCTCGCCTACTCCTGCGCACATTAGGAGTCGCGCGCGGCCTTCCCACTCGCGCGCCAACTTGCGCGCTGTTGCTTCGCTATCGCCCTCCCGCGCGTGCGTGTCGCCGCCCAACACTCCTACGCCCGTGCGGTTTAGGCGTCCCGCGCTTGTGCGGCACTTGCGTGATGAAGACCGTGTGTCCCGCCTGTCGACAAGCCGCTCCCGCACCTTAAATCGCTTGATAGGTGTTAGGAAGTCGCACACTCGCAGCCTTTCTAACGATTATAATTGCAATAGAAATCAAGAAGAAAACTAGAGCAAAGAGATTGAACAAAAGTTCGGATTATTGTATTGATTTCTGAATGAATAAATTAACAAGAGGAAGAGCCTTTATATAGGCATCAACTAGATCTAGTCCTAATATAACTATAACTCTAATAAAGCAATAAAATATTAGGAGTCCTAAACAAACTAGAAAACAAGGAAATAAATATCTAGAATATCTCTTGCTCGCGATTCAAGCCGCCATTGCGCGCGTGCTGCCCTCGCGCGCCCGCCTCGCCTACTCCTTGCGTGGTTAGGCCTGCTCGCGCGTGAACCTCTTCGTCCGTACCCGCGCTATTGCACCCTTGGCCGAGATTCTCGCGCGCGTCATCGTCCGCGTGCGCATGCCCATTAACGAGTTGGGCCTGGGCAACCCGTCGGCTTAACCTCCGTCGTGCATGATAAGCACGGCTCGCAGCAATTTTTAAATCTCCTTGCCGTGTTCTCATCATTCCCGTCCCCTTCAAGTGCTTGTTTGTCCTCAAGGAAGAAATCGGGAAACATCTCGCGCATCTCGTCCCAACTTTGCCACGTTGCTTCCTCGCTCGGTAAATCCTCCCATTCGACGAGCACTTCCCAGAAATATTTTCCAGCCTTTTTGACTTGCCGATACTCCATCGCATGGCTCGGCCGCACCATAACCTGCCCGTCCGGCGCGACCGCGGGTAGTCGATCTTTTGCCACATGCGCTTCGCCGAGCCGTTTCTTGAGTTGTGAGACGTGTATGACCGGATGAATATGGGAATCGTCCGGCAACTCAAGTCGATAAGCAACCTTCCCAACCCTGGCCAAAATTTTATAAGGCCCGTAATATCGAACTCCGAGTTTGGTCGCGGCCCTTTGTGTGGCCGTCCTTTGCCGAAACGGCCTCAACTTCAAGTATACCCAATCCCCGGGCTCAAACTCTACGTCACGCCGCTTGCCATCATGGTACGCCTTTATCCTATTGATCGAGCCTTCCAACGTCCGCTTTAGCTCACGCAACATCAAGTCTCGTTCGAATAACACTCGATCGACCTCGTCGTTCACGGTGCTCCCCATCGAGTAACTCACGATCGTCGGCGGTTTGCGCCCGTACACCAACTCGAACGGCATTGCCTTAGTCGAGCTATGGTAAGTGGTGTTATACCAATACTCGGCCCAAGGTAGATAATTCTCCCATCGCTTCGGAAATTGATGCACATAGCACCTAAGGTACTGTTCAAGCGTGCGATTGGTCACCTCTGTATGTCCGTCGGTTTGTGGATGATAAGCTGAGCTCATGCTTAGCTCGGTTCCCTGCAATTTAAAGAACTCCGACCAAAAGCTACTCATGAATATCCGATCTCGGTCGGACACAATCGACCGTGGCACCCCATGTAATTTCATCACATATTCCACAAATAATTTTGCTATAGACTTAGCTGTGTATGGGTGAGTAAGTGGAATAAAATGCGCATACTTGGTAAGACGGTCGACTACCACCATGACTCCATTGAACCCATTCGAGAGTGGCAACCCTCGATAAAATCCATGGTGATGTCCTCCCAAATACGTGTGGGGACCGGCAAGGGTTGTAGCAGCCCGCCTGGTCGACGCGCGTCCGCCTTAGTGCGTTGGCACTCATCACATCGCCCAACGTAGTCGCGCACATCGCCCCTTAGCCCTGGCCAATGAAAAGTGCTCGCAATCCTCATCCATGTCCGAAACACCCCGGAATGTCCTCCAAACTTCGAGTCGTGGAAGTGCCAGATCATGTCCTCGCGCAACGATCCCGCCTCGGGCACGACGACTCGCCCATGATAAAGAAGCAAGCCATCGTGCATGTCATTGTCCTCGTCCTTGTCGCGTCCCTCGTTCAGTTTCTTGACCACGTCCTGACAATGCGCATCCTCGTTTTGCGCCTTCCGAAGCTCTGTCCAAACGGCCCACGTCGGCCCCGTAACTGCGTCGATTTCGGCCACGTCTTCCCGACGAGACAATGCGTCGGCTACGGTGTTCTGGCGACCAGGTCGATACACTATCTCGAAGTCGAATCCCATCAACTTGGACACGAACTTTTGCTGCTCGGGCGTCACGATCCTTTGCTCGACCAAGTGCTTGAGCGGTTGCTGGTCCGTGACAATCCGAAAGCGTCGCCCAAGCAAGTACGGCCTCCACACGCGCACGGCCTCGACCACGGCCAGCATTTCCTTTACATATGCGGACAACCCTAAGCGCGCTGGCCCGAGTGCCTTGTTGAGATAGGCCAAGGGTCGTCCTTCCTGCACCAAAACAGCCCCGATTCCAATATCGCTCGCATCCGAGTGGATCTCGAACAACACATCAAACCTCGGCATTGCGAGCACGGGCGTGGTTGTCATGGCCTCCTTCAGCTCCTCAAAAGCCTTCTCGCTCGCCTCCGTCCATTTGAATGCTCCCTTCTTCATCATCTCGGTGAGTGGCTTCGCGATGGTTCCATAGTCCTTCACGAATTTGCGATAATAGCCCGTAAGACCAAGGAACCCTCGCAACTGCGTCAAGCTCGTGGGCTTCGGCCACCCCACCATTGCCTCGATCTTCCTTGGGTCAACCTTAACGCCCTCATGAGAAATAAAGTGCCCAAGGTACTCGACCACCCCTTGAGCAAACGAGCACTTGGACGGTTTGATGTAGAATGAGTTAGCCTTCAAAATCCCCAAAACAACTCGCAAGTGCTCGAGATGATCTGCCCATGTTTTTTAGTATACCAAAATATCATCGAAGAATACTAATACAAACTTACGTAGGTACCTCTTAAAAATCGAGTTCATGGCAAACTGAAAGGTCGACGGCGCATTGCACAACCCAAAAGGCATCACGAGATATTCGTAGTGCCCTTGGTGCGTTCGAAAAGCCGTCTTGGGCACGTCCTCCTTGGCCAACCTGATCTGATGGTAGCCCGCGCGTAGGTCGAGCTTAGAGAAGTAACATGCGCCACCCAACTCGTCCAGCATGTCGTCGACACTTGGAATGGGAAAACGATCCTTCACGGTAGCCGCATTGAGAGCGCGGTAGTTCGTGCAAAACCTCCAAGTTCCGTCCTTCTTCTTGGCGAGCAACACCGGTGACGAGAACGGGCTCGAGCTATGCTGGATGAGCCCAGACTCGAGCATCTCACGCACCTGTCGCTCGATCTCCGTCTTTTGGAAGTGTGCGTATCGATACGGATGCACGTGCACTGCTCGACCTTCCTCGACCAAAGGTATGCGGTGGTCGAACTCTCGGTGTGGCGGCAGTCCCTTGGGCTCGTCGAGGACCTGGTCGAACTCCTCGAGCAAGTCACGCACCTCGCGCTGCCTCTCCTCGACCACCTGGTCGAACTCCTCGAGCACCTCCGCATCCTTACCTGTCTGCTCGACCACGACAGCGTACAACTGTCCACCACCTCGCCACACCTTCCCGATGTTTTTTAGACCAACCTCCTTGGTCGATCCTTCGCTCGCTTTCAAGGTAACCAACCTATCATCGGTCTCGAACTTCATCACGCCCTTCCGATAGTTGGTCGTTACATCACCGAGCCCTTCGAGCCATTGCACACCTAGCACCACATCAGGTCCTACCAATGGTAAGGCAAACAGGTCCGGCTTTACCGTTACTCCTTGAAATTTGATTGGCACGGCTCGGTACACCTTCGAGCACCGCAGTCTCTCACCATTAGCCACCCGCACCTTGAATGGCTCGACCATGGACGTAGGTAGTTTAAGCTTGTGAGATAGCGTCGCATTAATGAAGTTGTGCGACGACCCATTGTCCATGAGCACAGTCACCCGCTGATCCATCACCCACGCCGGCAAACGCATCGTCCTCGGCCCCTTGGTGCCTGCCATGGCGTGTACAGAGATCTCGGCCTCATCATCGAGCAC